AGTAACAAAAAAAAAAAAAAACAAAAAAAAACACCCTGCCAGGAAACTGTGGTACAGACAGAGATCGCACTAACACGGGGCGTGGGTTTCTACGGTTGGCTTCACGAGCGACTTCCTCCTCCAAGCAGCACAGACTTAATGACAGGATTCTCGTGCCTTCTCTGTGGCATCGGCAGGAGCTAATTCATTAAAAGTTTTATTGTGAATGCTGTTTCTGGACTTTCAATATTTGAAATCGACCTACAAAAGAAGCGTGGAGAACTCCATTATAACGACCGCAGATACGAATGTCGTGAACCCAAGTTATTTTACACAGAGCCGGTCAGGAGGGCTTTGCTCCAGTTGATTCAACACAAAGTGAAAGTTCAAGTATACTGAAGTATTAAGGGAAGAGCAAAATAACTAAAAATAATACTAACCCAGCAAACTCGGGGGCGGTGAGGAGTGACAGGTGTCTGTCACACTCGCAGAGAAGCAAAAGTCTAGAGCTGTGCTGGGCACGCGGTGGACGGACACTTGGTGAACATCGGCGAGAGAACTGGGTGGGTTAGTAAGTCACGGAACGGAGCATCAGCAAACGGTCGGGAGTCAGCGGCTGGACGGCTTTGGAGCCACGACCCTGAGAACCAGAATGAGGAAGGGACGGGTGGGAGCTCACTTTCCTTTAAACCGGGCAGGCTGCCATCTCAGAGAAATGCAAATATAAAGCGATTTAAGGTCTGGGTTAATGCTGATCGCGAAATACGGCACCTTTAAAGGTGAAAAGAGTCCTCGTGTAACTCGGTCAAGGGAAAATGACCTGCAGGTCTCAGCTCAGCGGACACGTTGGAGCGGCCCCCACGCCCACCGTGGGTTTCTCCACCGAGGAACGGGGGCAGGTGTGCACTGGGCCCAGGGCTCGGCCAACGGTTCTTGTCCCGTGTCTGTGGCCTCAGCGCATGACGTGATCATTCTGAATTTCGGTTTCTGACTTGAAAGTGAGGGTAAGAGGACCTTTACTACCAGAACCACGGGCTGGCTCCAAGGATGAAATAAGGGCATGTAGGAGTGTCCCTGAAAACTCGTCAGGGTTTCATCAACACACCGGATTCTGAAAGAGCCTTCGTAAAAGTTCCGCTTTCCGTACCAGTGACAGATATTTAAATCATCGCGAGCATTGGTAAAACTCCGTAACTGAGACACTGACGCCAGGAACCGACCCGCTACGAGAGGGCCTCACGGTCACATTCGTGGGGGAAACTGCACGGTGCACCCCATGCTGAGGAGGCCTGATGCACACCCAGGAGAGCCACACTGAAGCCGCGGTCTGACCCGACGCTTTGTCAGTGAGCCTCTGAAGCTTCTGTGATTCGGACCCGCTTTCCCTCAGGCAGCCGACATCAATGTGATTTTAATCCTTTCTAAATTCGTTCTTTTTTAAGTTTATTTATTTTGAGAGCAACAAAGACAGTGTGAGTGGGGAAGGGCAGAGAGAGAGGGGGGAGAGGGAGAGAGAATCCCAAGCAGGCTCCACACTGTCAGGGCAGAGCCCGACGTGGGGCCCGAACCCACGAACTGGGAGATCATGACCTGAGCCGAAATCAAGAATCAGACGCTTAACCGACTGAGCCACCCAGGTGCCCCTAATTCTTTTTTTTTTTTAAGGTTTATTTATTTATTTTGAGGGGGGGGCAGGAGGGAAGAGAGAGAAAGAAAGAGAGAGAGAGAGAGAGAGAGAGGGAGAGAGAAAATCCCAAGCAAGCTCCAAGCTGTCATCGAGTCAGAGCTCGATATGGGGCTCGATCTCATGAACCGTGAGATCATGACCTGAGCTGAGGTCAAGAGTCAGATGCTCGACTGACCACCCGGGTACCCCGAGGTTTTGATTCTTTACACACACACACACACACACACACCTTGAAGGCCATGGTAGAAATCTCTATTGGACATGGTTGTAAGTCACTAACTTTTAAAACTAGCTACTGTTGTAACTTCAAGTAAGGGCTTTGGTGCCAGTTTGTCTTTCCAGAAAGAGCCCAGAGAACCCAGAGCCACACTTTGGCTGCGATAATGGGGGAACTTATCAACAAAGCAGCGTGGGGGAACCGCTGACCGGGGCGCTGCCTACGCCGACGACGAGCTTGCAGGGACGGGACCCGCGGGGGTGTGCAGGCAGCGCTGGAAGTGAGGGCGCCCCAGGCCTCCCCTAAACGTCTCTGTCCCTCGTAAAGATGTAAAACATCCTTCCCCTGTGCAGCTGGTTCTTCGCGGCAGGAATCTGCGCTCCTTAAAATGAGGAAGATCCCTAAACCAACGTACGAAATGCCACTTAGGCCAGTGAACTTGTTAAATATTTGAGATACAGAGGAAGGGCGGCCCAGCTCTTCCCAAGGTCTCCTCAGAGGGCACGAGGTCAGCCACGGCCCCCAGGTCGTGCCGGGTGACGGGCGGGGAGGCGGGGCTCTGGCCCTGATGTTATTCAACAATTTAAAGAAGCACAGACGAGGTCCGTGTGCATTTCACGGTGAGCATGACGTCTGAAAGGGGGTACGTGCCGGCGACGTTGCCGAAGAGAAGTAACGGTGGGCGACCAGAGGCGGTGAGTGTGTGCTTGGGGGAACCCACGCCTCCCTATGTCTGTCTGGGGGTCTTACACCCAGAAGCGAAGCCAGGCTTTCTCAGAGAAGCACGGTCGCCTCCCTGGCTGCTGTGCCCCGACGTCACTCTGCTGACAGACCTGCAGGGGGGAGGAGGGGGGACGCTTCCAAAAGCGGCGCTCCAGCACAGGGCCGGGGCCACGCTCTGGCCGCGTCCGGCCTCTTGCTAGCGATGGGCTCACCTCCGGGCACGTGGAGAAGCCCACCATGGAGACAGTTGTCGCCGGCAAGAGGGCAGCGGACGAGAAGGTGTCTCTCCTGGATGCCGTGATGTCTGCAGAGGACAGCCGGGCATCACGGCAGAGCCTCGGAAGGAAGTGGGTCTCCGATGGCATCTTGGAGCCCAGAGTTCTACTCCCTGCAGCTCAAAACTGCCCCCTGGAGACCCTGAGCTTCTCCTGGAAGTGCTCACAAATTCGCACGGCCGGAGGCATCTTGACCAGAACAGAGCACTCCTCTCCAGCACCTTCCGGGGAGGGTCTCCCCCTCGGTGCCGGTCACAGCGCCCCAGAAGCCCAGGCTGGCTGAGCGCACGCCAGTCTGGGTGGGACTCCGGGCCCGGGGAGACTGGCGGCCGAAAAGGCAGCACCTAAGCCCAGCACAAACTGGGGAGGAGACCGTTCTGTAGACCCAGGGCAAGACAACCTCCATGTTTTCTCCCAGTTCTGAGTGTGGGGGACAAGGACGGGACGGGGGCGGGGGGACGGGGGCACAGCTGGGGCTGCTCGACTCTGCCAGCCAGATCACAAGAAGCTGCAAAAACATTCTTCCATCTGGGTTTCTGTCCACGTGTGGATGGAGCGACGACTGAGTGGCTGGGTCAAGCGTCAGGACCGAGGGGACCCAGGGAGCCCATGCCCTCGCCAGCACACCGCAGCTGGCCAGCCTTCAGAGCCACACGAGCTGCCTCTCCTCTCCTGGCCTCCACACGCCATCGATTACCAGGACAGGGGTGGGGGGAGGGGGGCACCTTTGCTGCGACAGGCCCCTGGGCTGGTGGACCCCTCCCCTGGCCGAGAGCATCTGGAAGCTTATCATGAAAGTAAGTGACCACTCGTCCCCTGGGGGCCCCAGCGGGGTCTGGGGAACCACCTGGCCAAGACCCGGAGCTCCTTCAATAGGGGACAAAAGTCCTTCCTTCCCTCACCTGGGCCAATTCTTCCCCTGACTCACCCCTGTTACCTTTCTGTGGTCCCGTGTAACTCTTTGTAAATTCTATCAATCGTTTCACGTAAGATCTAAAACGCAAATAACTCCCGGGCATAAATTCATTCTGCACGGTAAGTGACACAGAGTTGCGGAGGAAGGGGCTCCCAGCTCCCAGTTCCCAGCGGGCAGGAAAGGGCCTTCGTGTCCTGGACGGCGGGGCAGGGGCCGCGCAGGCACGGAGCCCCCGAACACACCGTGTGCAGCGCCCTCCGCATCGTCAGAACAGAAGTGATAATCGGATCAACAGAAGGGAAAGCCTCGGGCAAACAATTCCCAGCCAGACCGTGTGCTGAAGAAAACAAAACTAATCTGGGCCAGAGCCTTCACAAGAGCCAACGTCTCAATGTCTCTTCACCGGAAATTACCCCATTTTCTGGCCCTAAAAAATGAAGTCAGCCACAGACCTGGGGTTTTGGGTCTCCCCACGGCCACCTTGACCACATCCAGCACCGGGCGGGGGCCGGCTCCACCCGATGGCTGCCATCCCTGTGCCCCGGCTACAGACGGTCACGTGCAGACAGGGCACGCGGTTTCCCATTCTACAGATGGAAACAGGCGGCCTGGAGCACACGCGCCCCATTCACCATCGCGGCCTGGTGTGGGGTCGGGCTGGACCCGAGTCTCGGGAACCCCAGGCCGGTGGGGTCAGCACCACCTCTCGGACTCCCCACCTCCCAGCAAGAACCAGTACACGCACGGGGCACGACAGCCAGAAACGGTTGCGAGTGACTCACCGCAAAGCAGCTCAGCCTGCCAGGGTACAGCGGGGTGGCCTCTCCGTGATGGAAACTACCACTTTCTACTTCATCGACGGACCACCCCGTGAGCCCCCCGCGCCCACCGCGGGGTAAGAGGTCGGGGAGCACCAGGAAGCTGACGGAGCTGCTCCTGGCGCCAGGCGCCCGGCCCCAGAACCTTCTCCAGGAACGTCCCAGAACGTTCCAGAGACACGTTCGCGGCGGGGCGAGGTGGGATCTCCCTGGGCCGAGCCCCGACACAACCGGCAGGACCGCCACTGACTTCCCTGCCGACCACAAGGGCCCCTTCCCAAGCGGGAAGTTTGTGGCACACGGAGAACAGGAGGGGAAGCGGAAGAAAAGCGAGGCCCGGGGCCCCTGCGCAGGGACAGCCCAGAGCCCGCCAGGCCGTACTCACCAGTAGAAGTAATAGGCCAGGGCCACGGCGACCAGGGCCGTGCACACGCCCGAGAAAAGGCAGGCGGAGTAGCTGGACAGCATCTTCGGACCCCTGGAAGCCTGTGCCCGTGAAAGTCCGACAGAAGGAGACCAGCGGCCTGAGCAGCGTCAGCCCCTGCCCGGCGGATAAGGAAGAGGGATTACGTCCAGACTATGGCGCCCGTGTCCGACGGGCCGGGGCCACCAGGACCATCTGCTCAGCCCCAAGGGGAACACACACTTCCAGGCGCCGCCTTCCCCCCGCCCCAGGCCCCTGCAGGCCTCACAGAGCAGCCCAGACGAAAACAGGACTCCCTAAATGCCAGCCTCCCCCCACCTGCTGCAGGGGCCCGAGGGGCCACTAATCCAATAAGCAGCTTTGCCGGGAGCCACCGGGAGCTGCTGGTGTCACGGGGCTGGGCCGGGACGCAGGTCAGCGGCCCACAAGCACACACCATCTCTCCCCCACCTCTCCGAAGCCACAATGGCACGACCCCAACACAGCGCGGCCTGGGGCGGGGCCGTGGGGTCAGCTAGTGACGGGGAGCCCGTGCTTGGGCCACCAGGTGATGGACAGACGGCCTATACTCGGGGCCGGGTCCCAGCCCACAGCTACCGACAGAGGAGGGTTCCTGGGGGGAAAGCCACACGTCTTACTCTTGGGGAGTCTGTGCTGGAGGAACTGAGGGAAGGTGGGGGTGTGTGTGCGCCTCTCCCCCGTCTCCCTGAGACTTGGGATCTGTGACAGGGCTGAGGCGAGATCAGGTGGCCCAAGGACAGAAGCGTCACCCCACAAAACCCGCTCCCAGTGAAGGCCTCAGCAGACACCTGAGGAAGCGGGGTGGGGGTGGGGTGGGGGGTATTTGATCATGAGGGAGTCTTGAGGATTCTTCTGGCCGGGGAACCTTCCTCGGGGCTAGGGCGCGGTCCCAGGGGGAAGTGAAGTCACTACTGTCACTCTCCTACATGGGAGACTGGGCCAGCGCTCCCACCCTGCACCTCCCCCCCCCCCCCACCCCCACCCCGGGCACCACAGTGAGTCTGCAGCACAGGAACTCCTGTGGGACCCTGAGGCGGCAGGTTCTGGGGCTTCTGGACGGGTCACTGCAAGGCTCCTTCTAGAAGCATCTGTCATCTAGCTTCTGGCCTGACACATCTCAGGAGAGAAGGCGGGTCACTACCCTGCACTCCGTCCACCGGAAGGGGCTTCAGAGGATTGTCCTGAGCACCGTCTTGCTGGCTAAGGCTTTTCCAAGTCCTTAATCCCGGGTGCTGGCGGCCTTGGCGGACTGGCTCTAACGTAGCCGTGCCCGTCCTCCCGGGACGGCGGGGCCCTGGAGGTGCCGCTCCCTGCCAGGCGCCCGGACCGCCGCCTCTCCAATGGGTGACGAAAAGAAAGCCCTCCTCTCCCAGAGTGCCGTTCAGGACGTGCGTCCGCAGAACCAGCCCGTGGGGGACCTCGGTGTGTGACGCGTGAGGACACGGGCCTGGGGGGCCGTGAGGCCCACCCCCCAGCCAAGGTCTCCGTGCAGGGCGGCAGGTGGCCCTGACTCGTCCCGTGAGGACCTTGTGAGGCCGGACGGGCCCTGCCCTCCTTGGGAAAGGCTTCCGTTGGGCGCTCCGGCCTGACCTCTGGGGCGTGGCCGCGATGACTCGTCTTGAGTGGAAAGTGGGTCACAGACCCCTCCCGGCTGCCACCGCAGCCCCCCAGACACACCTCCCAAACTCCAGCCCCTGAGACCGGGGGCCGCGCCGTCCAGGCCCGGGAGCTGCCTCCCAGCCCCCCTCCCCGCACCCTCTCCCCACCCTCACCCCCGCCACCGCCCTCCCTCGAGGCTCTTGTTCTCCACACCTCCTCGTTAGGTTGAGGAGAACAAAGCTAATTTGAACGTATCGCACAAGAAAGCGTCACGGGAACGTAGTCTCCGGATCATTTCCCTGTGCCTGGACATTAGTGATTTCCGCCAAAAGGGTGAAAGAGCGTGTGTTGGCAGGAGTTCTTGGTGCTGAGAGCAGCCACGGGAAAACTATCCTTTAAAACTCTGTAACACTTCCTCAGAGGAAACGGTTTCTCCCCGTGCAGTCAGTCGGCACACTCCAGTCCCCCTGCTTGACTGGTGGTGACCACACCCTTGGGACGGGGCCACGCGCAACAGCAAGCATGTTGTGATTGTTACCGTGTGGTCCCAGAGCAGGTTCTCTGCTACCCCCGCCGACCCTGGGGCCATCAGGGGCCCAGTGAGGAGGGGGCCGGACAGCCGGAGGGGCCCCGTGGAGCCCCGGGCGACAGCCAGACGCTCCTCCGTCCGGTACCTGCTGGGCTCCGGCAAACGAGGAGCCCACCAACCGCAGCCCAGACAGAAAGGAGATCAGAGAGCCGACCGCCAGAAAGTTCGCCAAGCGCAGCCACAGGGAGGGCAAGTGGCGGGCAAGCCGGGGCGCACCGAGGGCAGTGCCTCCCTCCATCCTCCGGGACGGACCCACGATCCCCCCATCCCTGCAGGGGAGGGGCGGGGGGGTTGCGGCACAGCCAGCCCTGGGTTCCCCGCTCCCCGTCAGCCTCCCCGTCCTGTTCTCTGTGCTCGCCGCCAGCAGAGCTCTGGCCGTCCCCGGCCCACCCTGACCCCACACAGAAACCGGGGGAGCCCCTGCCACCAGCTCCTGCAGTCCTGGCCCTCAGGGGGGGACCCCACGTGGAACCTGCCGGAATCGGGTGCTTGCTAACAGTGTCGTGTGAGAGAGGCCACACGGGCCACGCCCAGACACACTGGTGAGGGGCCACGGGGGGCCCTGCCCACGTGCCTGGAGCCACACCCACACCCACGCCGAGGCCACGCCAAGCGACAGATGCCACCGCAGACCAACCATGCGGCAATCCCGGCGGCTCTGCCCTCGGCACGACTGCAGCTCTGAGTCCCTCTGCCCCAAATCACCAAAGAGCTGGCAGCCTGGGGTCCGAAACGCGGCCCTCTGAGCGCCCCGCTGCCCCCAGCGTGGCCAGTTCCACCCCAGGCCCCCAGGAGTGAATCCGGCCGCTCCCAGGGGCGGGACGGCACATCCTGGCGCTTGTCCTGATGTGTCCACACCTCAGACGCGAGCTAAATCACGGCCGATCGCTATTTCCAATGCGTCACCAAAGACACTGGTGATCCTCAGGCCGTGCTGCCTCCACACCCAGTAGAGCAGCCACAACGTGCAGCTTCCGGAAGGAAAGATGCTGGGGACCAAGCACTGTGCTGCGGGCCCTGCCTCACAGACACGCTGGCCCCGGCAGTGAGACCACCCCCCCCCCCACACACACACACCGTCGTCCGCGTGTTAGGTTAACGAGGTGCTCGGGGAATGCACCACCTCACCGGCCTGTCTTCCAGATCTCCCTCGGCCTCAGACCCGGGAAGAAGCCTCTGGATGCCAGCTACACAGCACTCTAGAGCAACAGGGAGAGAAGCCGCCAGAGGCCCTCACTTAAGACTCCCCACAAGGCCTCACCGGGCCCCCTCCTGCTGGCAGAGTCGCGACCCCGACCTCGTTCTCATGCCCGGAGCGTCGTCCTTCCCGCTGACCGCTTGGGCACGGGCTCCCGCCGCTTTCCGCAGCCCTTCTTCGGAAAGGCTCTGAGTTCCTTGAGGTTTCTCTGTTGGTCCCGGCACGACGCAGGAGGAGGCCGCGCTGTGGCCCCAGCACCAGCCAGCCAAGTGCCCTCCAGTCCCTCGCAGGACACGACCGACGGATGCCAGCTGCTCCACAGGGACCTGGCCGCGGGCGCCTGGGGGAGGCCGGCGGGGCCGTGTTCAACCTGGTCTGCCTCCCGCAGCTTTAAATACACGAACACCTCGCCCGGCCCCCCCGCCCGCCCCCCCGCCGGGGAGCAAACATCAAGGCCCACTCGTGACAAGCCTCTTTGCTTCGACTCACCCTGGGGTCAAGGAGCCGGCGGTGGCGCTTCCAGGAGTGAGGCTGGTGCTCCCCGGGAGGCTGACAGTGTCCTTCCAATCCACACCGGGACGCGTGGGGAGCACAGGTTACCATGCAAACCAAACACGGGTAAACAGCCTGAGGTGTGCACACAGGGAAGCCAGCGGCCAAATCTCAAGTGCTTTGAAGCACATTCGGAAACTCTTGTGCCGGACGCTGTGCAGCTTGTGGTCACCGCGCGGTGTGGACACAGGCGGGTCGGGGTGAACACGCACGGGGACGTCCGGCAGCAGGTGTCCTGGGGCAGCGCCTCACTCTTGGGGAGCGCCTCGCTTGTGAAGGGCGGGCCTGGAGGGGACCAGCCGCTCTGAGACACGGGGGTCGCCCTGCTCAGCCTCCCGGGGACACGTGACCCGGCTCGCTGGCCCTGGGCCACCTCGGGCACCGGGCATCAGGATAATGAGAGCGCACTCATCTTTTCAAGGCTGCACTTGGGACTGGTTGCCAAGCTGTGCTCGTAACTGCAGCCTCTGAGATGCAGCTACAGGCCAGGGGCGGGTGACGGGCGGAGAGATGTGCACACGGCACTGAGGCACCTGCCGGGACAAGGGGTCCGGTCAACAAGCAACAACACCCCGGCTGGCACAAGGGAGCGGCTGGCCCGGCGTCCCCTCCGCACACCGCAGACACGGGCGTCAGCGCACAGAACCAGGAAGCGCCCGCGCGGGGAGTGCCCAGGGGCTCCGTCTGTGTGCCCGACGTGCCAGCTTGGTCTCTCTGACACGCGGCGAGCACGGGAGCCGGTTTGCAGAGCCCCGCTGTTCCAGGCGATGGTGGCAGTTAAGGACAGGGTTGCATCGAAGGCGCCTATTGTTCCCCGGGGTAGAATAGCCGTTGGGGGCGTGGGGTGGGGGGAGGCTCAAAGGGGACGAGAGAAGCTGGGCTGGACCCCGGCCTCCTACCTCTCTAAGCCAGCCGGGGGCTGGGGGTGTGGGGCAGGCCGAGGGCCCAGGGGGAAGGGCCCCAGGCTGCTCTGCTGGGTGGCAGGAAGGCTGGTCTCCTGAGCTGGCTCCTGGGTGTCCTTCCCGTTTCCCCACACGTATTCCAGAGGGGTGTGCTTTCCTGCTGTCCCATGTCCCTCTCAGGAGTACGGAGCCGGGGGGGGGGGGGGGGGGGCCCGGAGCACCCGCGAGCACCCAGGCCTGAGCCCCCGACCCTCCCTGCCCCTCCCTGCAGAGGACTTGACTCTCTCCTCAGGGAAACTGCCACGCCCAGCTGCCCAGAGCAGGAGCCCGAGTTCCGGAACTGCAGTCGAGATGCTCTAACGCCAGCTGGAGCTCACAGTCCCGTGCAGGGGGACAGCTGTCTGTCACTGTCACTGTCA